GCTGGAATTAATTCACTTACATCCGAATTTACTCAGTCAGGAACGAACAATTATACCACTATACGATTACGTGTCCGTGTGACTATTTATTGAACTTTCGAACAATTTATCTTTAGAGACAATTTGTGAACATTCGAACATTTGAACTTTAGAAACATTCTGACTTTGTAATTACGTAATAAATTTTCTTTATTGACTTCGTTATAATTGAAAGATTAGTCAAAACGAAACAAAATAAGCAACACATCTCTTCGTTTGATGAGAATCAAATGAGAGCAAGAAATAAAATAGATTTTCGTAGATGGTTTTTACTGCATTTGGAGAATTTTGGAATTTTTGGTCGGGACATGTATATTATTCTTTTATAGTTGCACTTTTATGGTACCATCGAATATCACCGCTTCAAACACTACGTCCATGCCACAAGACAAAACTACATCGGAAACACAACTCTATTGTAATAAATTGTGAAACAAAAAGATCAATAGATTGATGGATGTCTGCAGTTTAAATTCCCATCGAAAAAGTTTTCGGCATATTCCACAGGGGAACAAGTTGATAAACTTTTAATGCTACGGGAAAAGGGAAATAATTGGTATCCACTTATTTTCGAAATCTGCAGACGGTTGTATTAACGTACTATGTACCAAAATGGTTATAAATGTTTTATGGACCACTATGAATGAAAATGGATGCACATACTAATAAAAAAATCTTCTGCTCATAACTATTGCACATATTTGGAGCAGTATCTGCCTACCCTTCCAATGCACCCAAGATAACCCCAATTTTTGGTTGGGTTCGTGTTGCTCAGTTTTTTGTTTTCTATGTTGTGTTTTGTGTACTGTTGTTTGTCTGTTTGTCATTTTTTTAGCCATGGCGTTGTCTGTTTATTTTCGACTTATGAGTTTGAATGTCCCTTTGTCATCTTTCGCCTCTCACTTGCACATCTAGCAACCACTCGTCATATAAACCATTATTAACGAAAGGTCCATCACACCTCGGCGAGTACCATCGCACTTCAGAGTCCCCATCTCACCTCCGAGTCCTACATATATATATATATATACAAGTCTAAATTGAAAACAACGTTCAAACCTATGATTGCGTTGGATAAAAACCTCAATTTTTATACGTGTGGATGCAAAACAAATTTCTTAGTAGAGGGGTCTAAATACAACACAAACTACATTTTCCAAAAGACCAAAAAAGTGAAAAAGTATATTTAAACAAAACGCATTTGACTAACAGGTCGAACAACGGATGTTCTTAAAACCTGCTGACTGCTATTGGCGATTGCCAAATAAACGGATCACAAGATGTAAAAAGATGGATCTTTAATTATAAGAAGATGAGGTATGACTCCCAATGAGACAACTTTCCACCAGAGAGCAAATGACAACGAAGTCGTAAACAACTATATATATAATCCAGTTTACAGTTATATGGGTAATTAACTATAATTAGAATTCGTGATCTGGTTGAGTTTTATGATTGTTACAGACAGAAGTGTTAATGTGTCTCTAAATCAATTATATCTCTTGCTGTATTTAAGGTTTTTTTTTGGTGTATGGGTTGCTGTTTAATACTAGTATAGGTTCCATCTAATCATTATCAAAAGATACTGTTAAGCAATAGTTCAAACGAAAATATTTATACTTCAAACATATATACGAAAACATATTTTACCAAATAATTCCCCTGCTGGCACTTACACTTTTTTATGATCACAAATTTAGGGAACAGTATTTTACCGCTGTTCAAATCTCGCTAATAGATTGAGAAAACACAAATCAAGGTAATAAACAAAATCTGAGAAAAATGCATGAACAGAAAAAGGAGCGAGACCAGGTGCTTCACCAAGGTGAGCGTCACCTATTATAATTCATGTCACATCCACCAGGAAAAATATTACAATCGGGAAAAAGACACCAAACATACCATATTCTATTTTTAAATTGATGTCGATTATATATCATACATTTGTATATTAACATACAAAAGAGTGGAATGTACTTCAATATACAGAGTTAAAATGGAGAGCAGCATACAATAATCAAATCATATAATCTTTTGACTGCTGGCTTTGAAGAATTAAATCACAAAATTTGTGGACTATATGCAATGAATACTCCATGACTGATCAGTACTGTATATCTAAGGCAGGTTCATGTATTCTAGATTTTACAAGCATCATAGTTGCGTATAATGTAAAACAAACGTAATTTTCCTTTCGCAAGTTGAGACCAAAGCTGAAATCAATATCAGGGAGTGTTAGAGTAAGCGCCGAAGACGTAAACACCGTGCAGCTGAGCGCTGATACCAATATTAGTGAATGTAAGAGGTGAGTACTGAAGACATCACAATTGTTGCCAAGATAAAGAATAGCAACAGAGTTGTTTTTATTTTCGTAAAGTAGTCACCAATATATTTTCTAATATTTTAATGTTTTGTTGTGATATATAATTACATTCTATATTATTTCTTTAACCGTTTACGCATGACTTAAGGTAGAATATTGTCTTTATTTGCATGCCAAAACACGGTAAATTTTCATTCGTTTACTTCAATGAAAGCAAACCACTGCATATAGAAAAATTAAAGAACACAGCTGGACACTGTATACTAGTATATAATTTCAGCAACGTAAGAATGAAAAAACTCTAATGAGGTCATAGGAATTATAATGTTTCTATTCCATTTGTTGATTTATTTTGTCATTATTGTCCCCGCGGGAGATATGGTAATGTTCACCGTCCGGCCTGCCGTCCGTCCTTCCGATACATATAAATACTCCAAGATCGTTTAACATACAGCTTTCATATTTTTTAAGATTACTTGCCAAGTAACAAGATATTCTTTTGATCGCGTTATATCGATAGTTTGACAATTCAAATAGGAGTTATGGGACGGCTTTTTCCCTTGCAAACGCAACTTCTCTGAGACCGTTTTACTGAAAGCTCTCATACTTGGATGGATTGTTTGCTAGGATGTCATTTTGACGTGGACATTTGACGTTCCAAAGGGATACTTAAACTCATAAGTTAATGGCAAAATGACAACGCCATGACTAAAAACGAAAACCGACCTACAGTTATTATACGAAACACAAAATAGAAAACTAAAGACTGAGCAACACGAATCCCACCAAAAACTAGGGATAATATAAGGTGCCCAAGAAGTGTAAGCATATCCAGATCCACTTGTGTTGATCATGTAAGTACAAACTCGGTGAAAAGTATTATTTGGTGATGTCCCATTCGAGGAAAAGAGGGACGGGATTGTGGTTACGACAATTGGAACATATCCTTCGTCATCTGTGAGACAGATATTTCATAAAACTAGTAGTCAACCAACTCGTGATGGCGTACGTAACATTTTCGAGGGGTGACTTCAATTACACCCCTTGGAATCCTTGGTTTAATAGTTTCCTTGTAAGCAGCAACCCTCTATCAAAGAAATCATGAAGAAAGGAAATGCAAGCTCTGGAATATAGTATCAACTGGGAGGTATATACTTCATATGCAGGCGCTGCTGGAATGTTGCTACATAGAAATGGAACATTCACAATTGGGAAGGTGAAATCATCTCTTTTGTCGTAAAGTTTCAACCGAACCTCATTGTCAATTTCTGGATGTAAGTCACGATATGAGAAAGACTTAGCTTTTTCTTTTGTATTCTTTATTTCGGGTTCGATTGGATCGATGCGTTCAATATAGTCACCAAACTTTGAATTCATTAGTGAAATGACAGTATCTACGTAGCAGAACGTGAAGTTAAAGGATAATGCAAGTTTCTTTTCACTCTTCCTAAGAATTTGCTATATGAAGAATAAAGAAATAAGTCGACAAGAAGAGAAGCACAGTTGGTTCCTATGTAAATGTCGATTGTTTGTTGAAAAAACACGTCTTTTTTTTATGAAACAAAGAAAGACCATTTTTTCCCCAATTTGTCTTTATGTTTGGTATGGGGAATACACAAGTATTCCCAACACCAAACACGTAGAAATGTTTTTATACTATTGCAAGAGGAAAGAGACTTCGATTGTATGTACTCTACCAGATCTTTGGAATTTTTAATATTCACATCTGATTCACGCCGTCCCAAGAATAGGTAGTTTCACAGTAAAACTGATGCCTGGCATTGATTGCTGATAAAATTGATGTTGATAGTTTAGAAAGAGTATTCGTGGAGCGCTTGGAAGACATAGCAACACAAGTTGCTTGTAAGGACATTTGAGTAAATTAGGTATCCAATAAAGTGAAAGAAGTTCATCTTTGGTTGAAATTCCAAAGGGACATATAAATGACTTTCACTATTTGTTAGAGTATTGTGACAATAACACATTGTAAACATAACTCTTTTGAAACAATTTGACAGAAAACTCTCATACTTGGTACTATTGCATGCCATCATATGTAGTACTGCTATTTCAATATGATCATTTGTATGGGAGTTATGAGACTTTTGTAATTTGTAGGAGTGTTGTAACAATACCTTGTGAATACAACTCCTTTGAAACTGTTTTACAGACACCTCTCGTGTTTGGTAGGATTGGTTGCCACCAGTTTTGGGAATTTGACTATTTGAATAAATAAACTCATCTATATACCAGGATTAAATTGTATCTAACCATTACTTTTCCTTATGATTTTGTAACCTCTTTAGCTTTTATTATCATTTTGTAACCTCTTTGGATTTTCCTTAGCATTTTGTAACGGCTTTGATTTTCCTCAGTACAATTTTGTAACCTCTTTGGCTTTTCCTTATCATTTTGTGACTCTCTTGCCTTACGAGATCATTTTATTACCATCGGGCTGTCTTCATCATATTGAAACCATTCGAGCTTTATTAAAACACCACACCCATATTGCACACTGTATCGATCAACCAATACATGACAATTATCATATAATTTGTAAATGGATTATTTCAGTCGGTAATTCTTAATGACTAAGTTTTAAACAACGGACAGCAGATTAAAACAGATAACATATCAGTTTTTTTTTATACATTTTTATTCGAAACTGCACTTTTTGTTTGTCCTGGTGATCAGCTATCTCTGTAAAAGACCAAATCATAGATAAATCATAATTACAACAGACAAAATATGATTAAGTTAAATAGAAGTTTTTTGCTGTGATCTTTTCTGTAACTAATGATAATTATGGTCATATTAACTTTTTTGTAGATCTTACTTTGCTGAACATTATTGCTGCTTACAGTTTATAGATATCTATAATAATATTCAAAATAATAACAAAAAGCTGCAAAATTTTGTTAAAACTACCCATTCGGTGGCAGCAACCCAACAATGGGTTGTTCGATTCGTCTGAAAATTTCAGAGCTGATAGATCTTGACCAACTGAACAATTTCACTTTGTCAGATTTGCTCTAAAAGCTTTAGTTTTTGAGATATAAGCATACAAATTATAAACTAGATACCCTAAGGAACATTTAATTAAAGTTTGAAGGTATTTGGCCCAGTAGTTTCAGAGGAGAAGATTTTTGAAATAGTTTACGACGACAGACGACTACAGACGACGACGACAGACGACGGACGACGACGGACGCCAAGTGATGGCATAAGCTCACATTGGGGTCAGCTCTGAAATTTGGTGTATTTACTGTCTTCTGATTGGTTAAAAGTATTACCTTTATTTTCAATGTTGTCAATTTTTATGGCGACACGCCCACTCTGACGTTGTGTATACATACGCCAACATGTGTGTACGTTGTTGTATTCAATGTGAAGAGTCAAAAATTACTTTTATGGTTCAATAAATTCAAAATAAATAAAAGCCATTCATTAAATACAAAAAAAAATATAATTTTAAAGAGAGGTTACTTTATATGTGTAATTGTGCTAAAACTACGAATATAGTTAGTGGAGCCAGCACGCATTTCGAGCATTTTACGAGTTTTTACGGATTTTTACGAGTATATCACGGAATGTTACTATTCATCAAAACATTTACCAATAGTTACGAGTTAGTTACGAGTATTTACGAGTTCTTAAGATTTTATGCCAGAAAACATATAAATCTCAATGTATCATCATTCGATATTGCCCCAACGGGTGACTAGGGAATAGAAGTATGGTCACCATTGGTCTTCCTCCGACCGGCAGTAAAACCCTTGCTAAAGTGGGGCGTCCGTTTGGCTGTGCGGGATGTACAAATTTGCAGCCACGTCCGGTCAGAATGGGGAGGTCAAATCCGATGCTTCGTGTAAAGAGAGTGCCAAGCTCTTTGCACGTTAAGAACCCTTGCAACAACTCTTTGAGGGGTCCGTAGATGACCTGTTGCAAGGCTAAATTTCTGTCCCTATCCAATATACCCTCATTTCCCGTGGCAGTCTAAATTTCTCCGACCTTAATCCCGGACGCCCCTTTTACAGAACCTACCTATTGTATTTATTGTTAATTTGTTCTCGTCCTGAATATGCATCAAATATTTGCCACTGGACGTTAAGCAACCAACAATCAATCAATCAATCATTCGATATTGTAGAGTAGATATGCAGAGATGTGACTTCTATAACTTCTTAATAACAACTGAAAATGAAATGTTCGATTTTTCAGCTTTTGTACCTTACCCAAAATCGTCAACAATACGTAGGAATACGTAAAGTATACGTATCTATTCTAAAAGTACTTGTAACTACACGTAAAGTGCTCGTTATTACACGTAACAATTCGCTAAGCCATCGTTACATGAATGAAATCGTTAATAACACGTAAGCACTCGTAATAATCCGTTAATAATCCGTAAACTAACCGTAACAAATCGTTGAAAAAATATTACCTCATAAGAAAAATATAGGGCAACTACTCAATTCCTAATTGGGTGTTCAGATATAATTATGCTAACCAGGTTAACGAGTTGATACTTGCATTATTCCAAAGATAAAAGTAACCTAAATACTCATGTATGTGAAATTAAAGCTTTCAATAAACAAACCAGAGTATTACCTGATTTCACATACAAACGGTGTTAGACCTATGCAATCAAACGTATTCCATTTCGTATTACCCGATCCTAAATATACACATGTTGATTCAAAGTTTTCTGCAGGGTCCCAGTTGTCATACGCATCAGTTGAATTACCCGAAAGCCATACAAATTCTTCTCCATTATGTTCTAATCCTATAAGTAAGGTACCTAAACAAAGAAATTAATATTTCCTTACCTTAAGTACTAAGTATTCAATTTTTACTTGCAATGCAACATCATATGCCAAACTAAGGATATAAATTACAGTTTACACCAATTATCAAAATAATTCATATATAATCCATACTTCTATTCCCCAGTCACCCGTAGGGGCTATCTTGAACCTGCAATAGAGTTGAGAGTTTTTGTTGCTTGTTGAAGGCCTCAATTTGAATTTTAAAAGGAGAAATCATAAAAAAAACATTGCCTTTGCTTTGTTTTTTCTTCTTGGCCATGCAGTAATTTTATGTAATACACCATATGCGTTTTTTTCCATCAAACTTTACATTGCTTACCTATTTGAAATTCTTCAGCAGTTGTTGCTAGAAAGGTGTTTTTCTCCTCATTGTTTATTTCCACCAATGACCCACAAACACGAGAACAGGAGTTCTACAAATACAAGCGACAAAAAAGGTTGACATCATTCACGGAACGGGTTTAATTACAATAATAAATATGGTATTAAGAAGAGCTGCTTTAAAGACACTGGATTAATGCCACTGCTGGTGGGCGTTTATTCACCGCGGGTTTCAAAAGCCTTGTCATCAGCGCTTCTGTTCTTTCATAGAATAATGTCATTATCTATAAAATGATCAATCTTTTCAAAACTTAAAGGTTTTTCTACCCACAGCATATTTACATTTGACACTTATTTTTGGGAAAAAAATCTTTATTCATTTGGCCTTCTGACTGTCTCCATTCTAGCACCATTTATGAGGAGTAAAAAATACATATACGGACGTACTGAATTATAAACCTGGTATCAGTGTCTAGGTTTTACAAACAGAGTTTGCTTTAATTAACAATGAGTGTTTAAATAAAACCTATTACTATTCAGGTGACAAATTTATTCAAATAGAAAATGTTGGTTTTGACATTCAATAAAAAGATACAATACGAGTGCATAATTACTTAAGTAGGTTAAAAATAAAATAACTTAGATATCTTATTTTCTTAAATGTAAATTACCTTCGCACCAGGAACAGTTGTGATATTCCGGACAAAAAGGTATTTAGAACTACCGAAGAATCTTAGTGTTGCATCGTTTGTATCATCAGGAACACCTAAATTAAGTAAATTATACATTTGTGTGAATTTTGTCAATAACTGTGTAGCCATGTAAATACATTTAAAGAAAAATAAATTCTCATAGACGAAGGCCGTACGATGACCAATAGTTGCTTAAATAAAGTGCACTTCATTTGGACTCGTGATGATATTTGTCTCAATTTAAATCATTTCCCATTCCCTTTTTTATAATGATTAAAGATTGTTTAAATTTTGTTTGTGTCCAGTTATCTAAATCCGAACATTGTATACCTTAAACAATTGCAAACTTTCATTTACATAGTTAAACGTACCGCTGTGAAAGAAACTGTCATAGTTCATAAGCACAGCCATTATTGAAACCAGAGACATATAATGCATTGTATTATATGCCTCTGTTGAAACCTATATCACATACCCTGTAGTGGATGCCCCGTATAACATATCCTTATCATAATTCGTTTTGTTATACGTAACCTCTTCTGTAAAATTTGATATATTGAACAATAAAATGTAACAGTTGTCGCGCATGCAATACAAAACCTCGATCAGCATTAGTATTTAGGTCTGCCTTCCTATGGATGATATTGATCTCAGCATGTAATACAATTTAGCATGTGATAAGTGATACAATTTAGCATGTGATACGTGATACAATTTAACAATTGATACAATTTCTGCCAAAGATAAGTTAAATTTTTGTTCCTATTTTATTCAAGACAATTTGAAAACCAACCAAAATACATTCTTACATATGGTATCTTCGATTGTTTGGTTTAAACACACAGAAGTGGCATACACAATACTTGTATATCCCTCCATACATGACAGGTTGTCATCTGTTGTTAGAACACCGTCATTACACTTCATGGTTCTTGGTTTACGGCATTGTTCTATAATGGATTTAACATTTGATTTTATTCGAAAACAAAAATTATGTTCCAGGCAGAATTACGTCTAAAAGATTAATTAGTTTACCGAGCATTACAACTTTTTTTAGTATGTTATATTAGATATTTGTTATCGTCATTTTGATAATTTGAAAATGATTTGATAAATTAAAGATTAATTATTTATTTTACATTTGCAAAATGATTTATGAAAAGATAAAAAGTCTGGTTTTTATTTACAAATTTTTAAACATTATAAATGTTGAAATAGAACGTAAAACCCTAACCTTTAGTTCACTCATAATTGTTTTACATCATTTATTCATTTCTCTGTTTACAAAATAATCCAGAAAATCTTAATGCAAAGAACTGTTTTAAATGAAAATTTGGCTATTTGGTTGTTTTATACTTATTGTAAGAAGTGTAAAGACCTAATGCAAATAGTATGATAGAGTTCAGAAATATTATTTGAAGAATTCAACGGGCCAAAATAAGTGACCTTATCGTACCTTCTTCTTTAGTCGTTTACTATGATAATTAAATATGTATTTACTGTTCGTACCTGCATCACAGAGAGTACCTGTGAAACCATTGCTACACATGCAGCTGAACCTTGATTTAACAACCGTACATGTCCCTCCATTATAACACGGATTTTCAAAACACGGGTCTTCGTCTGAAATATTTAAGAGAAGAGTGAAAATTCCTGCATATGTCGTTATATAGTTTCAGCAATATGCTTTTGACGTATTATTACACACTCTTGATACATATTTGTTTAAAAAGGTTGTCATGAAAATGTTGGCGTTTTCCATTTAGATTTTAATTGTTTTTCTCTTTGATGTACAATTTTTTACTTCACTGATCAAGATTAACAAGGGGAAGGCTTGAGATATAAAAAGTATCTTAACCACGCCACATCTTCATGTGCATGTCTTCAAAAAGAGGAGGAAGAAACTAAGGGGACATTGAAACCTCGTAAGTCGCAGGAAAACTGACAACGCCATCTAACGAATAACGTCAAAACAACGACAAGACAAACAAGTCCACAAAACACTACATAGAAAACTAGACACTGCGCAACACAAACCTCCATAAACACAAAACCTAGGCTGATATAAGGTGCCCCAGAAGAGCAAATCCCCATCACAATGCCCACGTCAAGAACCTTTTCAATAGTTGTCATGATCATATGCCATATCGGAGTTTTTCTTCTTTGGAAATCTCAGTATAGATTGCAGATTTTATATTGTTTCTGTTTAATTTATTCACTTGTTTTTTATAAGCATTGGGCGTTTAAGAGATTATATATAGACACTAAAATTATTGTGGAGGACTATTTGTTGTCTCCTAGACGTTGACGTTGACAACAGCTTCTCTGGAAAGTGTAAGCAGTTTCTTCTGAAATACTGACATTCGATATAATATAAATTCAGAAATATCCGTGCATTTATTATTGCTATTTTTGAAGAATTGATATAAAATGCGAGATTAATTATTGCGATTTCGGGATAATATGCATACAGTTAAATGTATTAGATATCAGAATGCGAGGTCTCATTATTGCGATAATCACCCAGTCGCATTATTCGCAATAATAAAAACCTCGCAATAATTTCTGAATTTACAGTATTTCATTTTTTAACAAAATCTAAAAAAGGTTAGGATAGAAGACGGAATTTACTACCAGTAATTTTACTGCAAGATTTGTTGGTTATGGAGTCGTTGATTTCCTTCATGTATCGTGTTTTATGTTTCAGATTAAAAGTAATCAATTAAACGTTTAACTTTTCTAAAAATTTACAGAGTGCTCGCAATATCATGAATTACGTCAACACGAAGCAAAAATCGTTGGGATTGGGTCCTCAATATCTGTACTGTAATTTCATCCATTATCTTCCGTATTTCACATCTTCTCCTGTCCGGGACATGTTCCCAATTCTATATCTTATTCGTGTTATTCTAACGAAAAGAACATTTGCAACACCATGAGGCAATCAATCAAAACCGATATTTGTATGTTAAGTAATTATTTCAAGATGGCGTGAATATCGAATGAAACTAATTGCTTTGAATCGTGGTGCTAAGCAAAATGTTAACCCACTAACAATTAAAAAAGTGACTACTTTCAAATAACCTAATCTCAGTTATATTTCAAGAGTTGTAACTATACTTTCTAGAAAAGCAATAGTAGTCGATGAACTAGATTCAATGATGACATTGTCCCATCGATTATCCCACGAATAATCAACGATCTCCAAGATATTTCTGATCTTGAGGCAGCAATCCGTCAAGGTGAAGACAGCTCAAACTCAAACAACTCTGGAGACTAGAGTTCAGGATCTCATCAACTTTTCAAAACTTTAATAAACTCACTTCTTATTTGTTTCGCATTGTTTCACGTTTCCTAATAAGTATCATATGTGCTAATCAAGGTGTTGCCAATTACAAATAGAGTATTCATGTAAAAAAAAATCCTAATTAAATAAAAAATAATGAACGAAAGTGATCACACTATATAACACATCTCTATGAATAAAGTAAATTAGCGTTTTCCTTTACCATGAAAATTGACACTTATTCACTCTTAATTATGAAGAATACTTGAGTTAACTCTTCTATTTAATAAACAGCAGCTGGTACACTTATGTGATTGATTTTTGATAAGCAATAATAATTCGGACGAAGCATATCATAGTATGCGTTTATAGTTTGGAGCCCATCTCTTTCTTGTTTTGTTTTTCTGCTAAACATGCAAATTTTCCCTTTAACTCCATCCCTCGTCATCTTCCTCCTTTATACGCAATAACATACATTCGTTAAAAACTGCTAACAGGGGTTATTGTCCTGTTTAATAACCTTATGAAAATAGATCAGTTATTACTTATTATGACTTTCAACATGGTATTCAAGTTTCTTATTTGTATTATTAATGGCTATCTTTATATGGTAAAATTCATGCTAAAAGTAAGGCGCTGGCTCGCCGTTTACAGTTTTATATAAAAAAAAAAAATCAAACATTTATGTACGTAACAAGTACATATATTAAAATTACCAAATCAGTAATAAGTACAGGACATAATCGAATCTTATAAATGTTAACTCCTTATTTTCTATTATTTTCCCGTCCAATCTTCTTTTATTTATAGTTCATATACAACCAGTACAATTGTCAACAGCATGTAATATATTAGTGTACACTGTAGAAATCCAGTAAATACTCTTACCGAACTCTACACAAATGATCAATTTAAATACCTATCGACGGATAGCTCACCATAGCAGTGTATCAGTATTTAATAAATGCATAATTTGAGAATGAATAAAAAAAACAAAGCGTAAAGAATAGCTGTAATGCAAGATGAAATTTGTCTATTATTATATGAGCCATTTGCCTTGACCTTTTGTATTGTATTCCTGTTCGGTTGTCAATGTATTTATGTTTATTGTGTATGCTGTGGTAATTTGTACTTTAATGTTTATTGTCTTTGCTGTTTTTTTGTAATGTTTGATTTAGATGTAAAACCAATAGCATATATGGAAGTTTGGGCTAATACTGATAACAACAATGATAGCTATAAAACTACAAAAATAATGATAGATTTTAAAGAAACGTCTATATCCCATTCCTCTGGCTAATAAAATATGTGTTCTGGCTACCAAACTTGTAATTTAAAACTTGTTTACTTCCAGGTCTAATAGTTTAAACTTTATTGTGTACAGCTTTCTCATTGGCATTCATACTTAGTGCCTTATTTAATATCAATACAGTTTCAATTTAATTTTTTTGTCTAGTTTTTCCCTGTAAGTATAATACTAAATTTTTCAATATTACAGAATCCTATTTTCATTCAACGATCATGACTTCCATGTATGTCAAACTCACTTCTCATGCTTTTATACTGTTCAAATTATTTTTTGAATCTTTTTGTTTTTTTTATTTTGTTGTGTTTTCCTGTGATGATGATGATGATGATGATGATGATGATGATGATGATGATGATGATGATGATGATGATGATTTGTGTGCCGGTTTGGTAATGCTTCCCTACAACAGTCCTTTCTTATCACCTGTTACGGCTGTTTCAGTCAATGGGTAACAGCGTTCAAGATAACAGGGCTGCTGTAGGTATATTTAATAATCGAAGAAAATACTGTAAAACTTTAGCACGTATAAAAATGGATTCCTATTCAGATATACTTTTTACTAACTTACGCTGCAGTTTCCTCGTCTTCAATCTCTCGGTTTTACAAACAGTAAGTCCAAGATCAGACATTATTTTTCTGTTGTATGTACTTCATTTTATCCTCATAATTGGAAATGTTGAAACAAACCCAGGTCCAAATCTTCGTAACGAATCGAGTACACCGTCATTTACAGGTCAATGAGAGGATGGTTATTACGGGCGATTTGAACTCTGACTTACTTACAGCGCACAACAGCAAACTGATTGACACATTAAATTTGTTCAATCTAACCAATGTAATTAAGCTACCTACTAGAATAACGGACCATAGTAGCACTCTGCTAGATCCGATTATAATAAGTGACTCTATGACATGTTCCTTTTCTAGTGTTCTAAAAACCCCATCCGATATTAGTGATCATGATGCACCTATTGCATTTCTCGAATGTCCAATGTCCGATTTTAAATCTTTTAAAAGAGAAATATGGCTCTATGATAGGGCTGATAAATCAAAATTTGCGGAGAAATTAGATGAAATAGACTGGAACACAGTGCTTCCGGACACTAAAAACACCAACGAGTTGTGTGAAATATTTACAATAGAATTTTTGAAAATAACCAAAGAGTGTATCCCTACTAAACTAATAACTGTAAGACATAACGACAAACACTGGTTCAATAACGACATAAGACGAGAAATTCGAATTCGAGACCGATTAAGAAAAAAGGCAGTTAAATCCAAGACTGAAAATGACATTTTGAGGTACAAGCAACAGAGAAATAAAGTAAATAATATGAAAAAAATAGCCAAA